TCCTGATATCCTGTCCTTATCTTAAACCATATCCGTCAACTCCCATAGGGCATGACTGAGATGGGTGTGGCCGATGTACATACCTCTATTGTTGTTGAAGATAACTCAAAATGCTTATATCTCTCTTCCCGAATTATAGATATTCATCCTTACTAACTGGGTACTCGTACCCTTTTTCACCTTGTTTCTTGTACTTGTTGAAACATGTACCTTCTGATTCTCTCGTTTCTTTTTACCACATGGGTGGATAGATATTCATGCCTTAGGGCTTCTTATCAAGAAGCTTACACCTTTTAGTAAACACACGATCTGCCGAAGACCCTACATTTACTCATTGTAAGCATGATGCAACATCGAGTTCCTCTAACTCAACACTTCCACAGCTATATCTCTTGCCAACCGTCTTTCTGAATGTAGGCATCGTTGTATTACGAATAAGATAGAGTTTAGGAAATTGAGTTCTTACAACTGAGCTCTACCATACGATTTAGAGTAAGAAGAGAGAGTGACAGTCCTGAATGCCCTGTAACCTCCTGCTTATAAGTGTGGTGCACGACACACCCACAAACAAGACTCTACTAGACACGGCTTGTAGATTCCCTAGGACAGAACTGCTCTGATACCACTTTTGTCACGACCCAAACCGATGGGCCGCGACGGGCACCCGGTACCTTACTCAACCGAGTACCTACATAACGTATCTTTCATATCATACTATCATAGGTAAATGAGCCAGAGAGGCTGTTGTGAGATAAGTAGAATAAAACATGGGAAAAATACTCGACATTGGATGACCCAGCATGTAATCCAAACTTATACATATGACGTACGGGCCTATAAGGCCGGCATGATCCTTTATATACTCAAAACATAGGCCGATAAGGCCATACAAGTATCCGTATACATGATATCTATCTACAAGCCTATATGAATACATAATATCATAAAGGCCGGGACAGGACCCCGCCATACCAATTAATACATGTACTAATCATACTGACCAAATAGGCAACTCCGGAGCAAATGGAGCGCACCAACACCTTTCGCTGAGCTGATAGCTTACTTGGAGGGCTCATAACCTGTCTATCGGGACCTGCGGGCATGAAACACAATGTCCCCAGGCAAAAGGGACGTCAGTACAAATAATGTACCGAGTATGTAAGGAATAAAAATCAGTAAATAATAGACATGAGAGAAACATGGAGTAAAAGAATTGACATGTAAGTCCGAATAACTCTGTAAATCATTAAATACTTATAGTGTCATGCATATGCGTATGAATGTCATGTCGTGCATAGGTACATGTGTTCATAATATCATCAAGCCTCTGAGGGCATCCCATCATATCATCTAGGCCACTATGGGCAAAATCATCAACGTATACCAACTGATCAGGTGGTGGTGCGTATATAACGAGGTAACCGTTTTCCATATCCCATATACATATAATATACATATATACGCGTATATAACGCCATCTTGTCATGGATCAATGTACATGTATAAATGAATGCAATGTATGAGAAAGTACGTCAATAAAATCTTTCAGAACGTCATAAGACCATTATGCCTCTGATTAATATCATGAAATAAACCTTATCAACTTACGTATTTTCTGAGACCCATGAACAGATGATAAAATAATAGGACACATAGGGAATCAAGAACATAAGCATTTCTAGCATTTTTATGAATAGAGTCATTTTATGGAAGTTGTGCATTTGCTCATTTCGCTTGTATCGTATGGATCGTGCCAAAAAGAAAGAAGGGATAGCCTTAACATACCCGAGTCAATTCTCTTGACAATCCCTCTAACACACGTTAATTGCTACAAAACACGTGACAACAATATTGGAGTAGAGAAAAATCCGTATGATATTCTTGAGAAAGATTGCACTGTACTCCCTTATAATTGTAAAATCTCACGTTGCTTAAGATGCTATGAAATTTTGTTGAATTGCCATGAAATCATTTGAATTTTGTTGAAGATGCTAAACTTCCCCACGTTACCAGGTTAGAGAAGTCTTATGCTTGAGTTGAATTTGAAGAATAACGTTACTATTGAATGACTTCTTAAGTCTTAAGATGCCTTATGATGTGGGCCCCAATGAGTCATTTGGTGGAATGGCACATGCTTCCATGTTACTATACTTAAACTTATCCAAATTTTCACCTTAATCAACTTATTAATCCCCCACTAATCCAATAATTAATTAATTGCTCACATAATTAAGAATTATCTCAAATTACTTAAAATACTACTAACCTTTAACACACTTTATATACCTTACTATCATGGTCATGTGGTACCTTGTATGACACTAATCCATGAATACAGGGTATTATAGCTTGGACCGTATTTTATCCCCAAATTGCCAAACTTCGACGGAACTCATTTTCTTTGATTCGCTTATCCTCTCACCTTTGCGAGTTAGCTTATCACTTGTTTGAAATAGCGTAATACTTATAATCCCAAATAAATCTCATTCTCGAACTTACGTCGATTAACTTACGACGAAACCTTAACGTACGAAAATGCAGAATGTAACATCTCATTTTCGAGCTTATATCAATTTACTTATGGCGTACTTCCATGTACGAAAATATGGGGTGTAACACATATATGCATATATTGCGATAGTCAAGCAGCAATAGGAAGGGCTAGGAGCATTATGTATAACGAAAAATATCGTCATATACGACGAAGGCATAAAACTGTTAGGAAACTATTCTCTAGGGGAATTATCATAATTGACTACGTCAAATCAAGCGATAATGTGTCGGATCCACTTACAAAAGGCCTAACTAGAGAGGTAGTTGAGAGATCACCGAGGGGAATGAGACTATGGCCGAGGACAAGTCATTGTGGCGGTAACTCTACCTAGAAGACTGGAGATCCCAAGATCTAGGTTCAAGGAGCTCAAACAAAGTCATTAATGACGGTTCAACATTGTCAAATATTTTTTCTTGATCCATTCTCGTGATGAGACAATGTTCAGTACCAAGGATAAAACGTTAAGGCTTTTTAATGGTTTCTATGTTTGATACGGGGTATATCAAATAGTGTATCTACGAGATAACACGTTTAGGAATCACCTATGTAAGTGTGAGTGTAAGCCGCTTCAAGGAGAATTCTTTAAGGCCAGTTCTCTACGCACTTATGAACCAGGTGGTGTTCGTAGCCGAAACGGACACAACAATGAGAACCAAATACGGTTAAGGGTTGATTGTGTGACTTATGGTTATCTAGGTATATGTCAAAGTTCGACGGTTCAAAGATATCAAATCTACCGATTGACCGAGTATATCCGAAATAAGTTCACTTCGGAAAGTTCAAAAGGAAACCTACTAATCCAGATGCGATTAATCCTTATTTGTGAATCACACAGTATTTTCGTTTACGATTTTACACATATGTCCATTCCCCATTCATGTGGGGGGTTGTTGCATTTTTTTCTTTAAAGGGTGTGAATGAGAAATAGAAGAGGTACCTTTTGGATCGCCCCTCTCCATATCACCCTTCTTTTGTCTATAAATTTAGAGGCTTGGCCTCATTTTTGAGACATGAAAAATCTGAAATCATATCCCCTCTTTTCTACATTGTTGCATTATTTTTTAAATAAACATAAGTGTCAAGTGTGATTTGCTCCGTTTGTTGAGTTCGCTGAAGTTCTGTAATTTCGATTGCTAGTATTACAGAATAGTTTTTCCGTTCTATCCTAGGAGGAAGTAATCCATAACCTTGGGCAACAGTGAGAGGATTAAATTCCTTATGGACACACAAGCAACTTGTGGGCTCAGAAATTATTTATGTTCTCTTTTATTGAACTAACATCTCTTTTGTTCTCTGATTTTCTAGTATCGAACACAGTTTACTAACAGTTTCCTTGCTGAAGTGTTAGCTCCTAGTTGCTGGTCTTCTATCTTCACCTGTATCTTTTCTGGAATCTCCAGTTGATCTCGATTTTGGGCTTGTAATATCATTGGAGCACTACCCATACCCATCATCCATTGCTCTAATTGAATTGGGGCTAAGTTTTGTGGAACTCTCGTCTCTGGTGTAACTAATTTAGAAGGATCATCTTTGGTTGAGGAAAGATTGGTGTCGACCACCGACGCCGGAATCTGCTTCTTCTTCTGGTGTGCCATAGATGGCACACGTTAGCTATCCTTCGCTTAACATGCGCACTCAGAGTTTCTCTCTCCTCAAATTTACATTAATTGTGCCAATGTATTTATAAGCGACTACGCGTCTTTTTTACATAAAATGTTAAAGAGCTCTTTCTTTGATGTAGGCCTCGCAAAATACGAAAGACACTATACTCTCATACTTGTTTCTTATATGTTAATTATTTTAAAGTAGAACTTTCTAAATGATTTTGATTGACGAAGTTAAAAAAAATTTAAGTATTTAGTCATTTAATTCAAAAAAACCAAACTGTGTGAAATATTGGAAAAAATATAAAAAATAAGGAAAACATTGCTTTAAGAATTTCAGAATTAAAAACAAAGCATGTGCGGTTTTTCAAACTAAAACTTACTTACTCCGTTCTAATTTAACAATCACTTTTAGCTCAAAAAATTGTCCCAAAAATATTGTTACTTTAGGAATTTGAGATTGAATTGTTATTTGTTTCCAACTCTACTCTTAATATTAAAGAAGTAAATAGTTTTTTTTAATGTTGCTTAATTCTCAAAAATTATTTAATCGAAATAATTTAATAAATTATATCTCATATATATTAGTATTGTTTTAATAAACGTGAAAAAAAGCTAAAATAAAGAAAAAGAATTGTTAACAATGGGAATTATTGGAACTGCCCAGAAGCTTCAAAATTACGACGGGGGTGTGAAATGTGAAGTAAGATTCAAGCCAACAGCAAAACCAACACACCGGGCGTCACATAACATGCCACGTGGACATTATGCCAAATGTCAAATCCTTATTGGTTAGACACTTCACTTTCCACCTGTAACCCCAATGGTATATATACCCTACTCTCCCTCCTGTTACTGAAATTTCCTCTTCCCAATTAAGTAATAAACTTCACCGGAGATCTTTTTTTCCGATTAAACTCCGATTTCCTAACGCCGGCGGCGAATATGTTATTCCGTATAGGGATAATCCTATCCTTGTTTTTGCTGCTCACTCCAATTCCATGTCAATCCGCAGTCTCAAGCATAGATCTGGGATCCGAATGGTTCAAAGTCGCCGTGGTCAACTTAAAACCCGGTCAACCACCTATTTCAATCGCGATTAACGAAATGTCCAAACGGAAAACTCCGTCGCTCGTCGCATTTCACGCCGGCAGTCGCCTCATCGGCGAAGAAGCTTCTGGAATCGTCGCTCGTTATCCCAACAAGGTTTACTCCCATCTCCGTGATCTAATATCAAAAACCTTCCCGCACGTGTCCAAAACCCTAGAATCTCTCTACTTAAGTTATGATATTTCCCCCGAGGAATCGAGAAATGTGGCAGTTTTTAAGACGGAGAATGGTGATTTCACGGCGGAGGAGCTTGTGGCGATGTTGTTGAAGTATGCCCTCGGATTGGCGGAGGCGCATACGCGGGGAATGCCTGTGAAGGATGCGGTGGTGACTGTGCCACCATATATGGGAGTGGCGGAGAGGAAAGGGCTGCTTGTTGCGGCAGAATTGGCTGGAATCAATGTGTTGGCGCTTGTGAATGAACATTCTGGTGCAGCATTGCAGTATGGGATTGATAAAGATTTTTCGAATGGGTCAAGGCATGTGATATTCTATGATATGGGTGCGGGTAGTACCTATGCTGCCTTGGTCTACTTCTCTGCTTATAATACTAAGGAGTTTGGGAAGACTGTATCAGCTAACCAATTTCAGGTAAAATTGAGTAAACGTTGAGATTCATTGATTTTGAGTTCAGAATATTATTTGCTGATTTGTATGAATAGAATGCTAGATATATTTAAGTGCAACATTGCAGTTCTGATGCTTTATATAGTTATTGTAGAGAATGCTTCTGTTGAAGTTATTTTGTTAGGTTTATTATATCAGTGCAAAAGATTGTAGCATTGTTTGTATATAGGGTGGATGGACTGTATAAGCTGTGGGTTCAGCCAAACCCAGTAGCTTTGGCTCAGACCTTGAATATGTGCTAAGAAATCTACTAATTGTGTATAAATATTAACCCAATAACTCAAATGGTCGGTGGGCTCACTGACATCCCGAACCCACAAATTTAAATCATAGTATAGGTACTTTTATTAATCTTTTTTCCTTGAATGTTAGACAGCTAGATTGACAGATGAGTGTTGCAGGTCAAGGATGTTAGATGGGATGCGGAGCTGGGAGGGGAACATATGGAATTAAGATTGGTGGAGTACTTTGCAGATGAGTTCAATAAACAGCTTGGAAATGGGGTTGACATAAGGAAATCCCCAAAGGCAATGGCAAAGCTAAAGAAACAAGTTAAGCGAACAAAGGAAATTCTTAGTGCAAACACAGCTGCTCCAATATCAGTTGAATCTATTTATGACGATCGGGATTTTAGGTGAGTTTGTGGTCCATTGATTTTAATGTACATGAATTTGCCTTCTTTCTTGTTTTCTCGTTCTTCACTACTTCTGGGAAATTTTAGTTCTGAAATTTATCTTTTAGTTCCCAAGTGTGCTGTTAGTTAGTGAATGATGTCACATTATCTAGAGAATGGTGGTCAATAAGTCCTGTCTATGATATGAAACGCTTGGAGAAACTTTATGCTGCATCAGGCTGACGTAGTACCATATGCGCATGCGCTGGCTACAGTATTTCACGTGCTGCTCGTGATGAACCCTTTAAGTGATTCGGCTCGATGTGCTCAAGATATGATGGAGCTATTTTTTTTTTTTATCAAAAAGGAATAGGCTCTTGCTGTAATTCTTATTTTCAATTTTAAACCTTACTGTTTCTATTGGTTTTTTTAAAGCTTTCACAAAATTGGTATCATTTGAGAAGTCCATGTACCGTGAAATGGGTTATTACTGGGAACAAAGGGTCCCTTCTTTTTTCACCTAGATATTTGGACCAGGCCAGGACCAATATCAATTTTGTCTAAGTAAGCAATCCTAGAGATCTTCAAACAAGTGAAAAGGAGAAAACTAGAACGGAAAAATACTTTCTTTCTGATGTGCAATGGCATATGCGGAAGGTGAAGTAGAGCATGGGGCGATGCTTAGTTAAAAGTCAAAAATCAACGCAGTCGCACTTGCTATGATTTTGTGGTATAGAGCTTATGTGATTAATCTGGAACTGATTCTCTAGGTATACACATTAACTGGAGTGCATTGCATTGTTTGTTGCTCTTTCACTGTTTGTCGTGTTTACAATTTTTTCTTCATAATATTTTAGTTAATATGACATAGCGGATTATGTACATCTCTAGTTGACATGATCAAATTCGCAATTCCGTATTAGATAAAGAAGTTCTACTCCCCCATGAATAGGTTGCTATCTAAGACATATAGGAGCCAGGAGCCAGTACCCACTCTTCTTCTTGTGCGTGACCTAGGTGAATCTAGTGCCATGCTTTCACATTTGGAAGAGGGAAGAGCGATGTTCTACTAGTAAATTTTCACTTGTTTTTTAATTTTTTTCACTCATCAGAACTTTATTTTCTCGTAGGAGCTCAATAACTCGTGAGAAGTTTGAAGAGTTATGTGAAGATTTGTGGGAAAAAGCTCTTATACCTTTAAAGGAAGTTCTTACACATTCTGGTTTGAAAGTGGAAGATATTTATGCAGTGGAGTTGATTGGAGGCGCCACCAGGGTGCCAAAATTGCAGGTCTGTGTCTCTGCTCTTTTCTTAAAAAAGTTGAGGTCTATCAACTACAGTTATTGAATACACATATTAGTTGTTTCCATATACTAATAAACCCAAGAAAGATTTTTGATTGCCGATGACACACACACACACACACACACACACACACACACACATATATATATATATATATATATATATATATATATATATATATATATATAGGATAAAATAAATGTTGCGTTGCTGGCTGTTGGAGTTTCTTGCCACTTTATCTGTCAGCGTCATCTTTATCTGCAGCAGACACAATATGTAATAGTCATGTAAATAAGATATCATTGTTTGTAGCATGATTGATTTATGGATTTTTCAAAACACTGATTGTTTTCTTGAAAATAAATTACATTCCTCCATTGCAGGCTAAGCTTCAAGAATTTCTTGGAAGGAAAGAACTGGACAGACATTTGGACTCTGATGAAGCAATTGCACTTGGTGCCTCGTTGCATGCTGCAAATATAAGTGATGGAATCAAATTGAATCGTAAATTGGGGATGATTGATGGTTCTCCGTATGGATATGTGATTGAAGTAGATGGTCCAGATCTTCCCAAAGATGAAAGCACCAAACAGTTGATCATACCACGTATGAAGAAACTGCCCAGCAAGGTATATCAGAAATTTGTTTTGACTGTATATTGTTGGGGAAATGACAGCAGCTTATTAAAAAGCATAATAGTACATCAGTTTTATGTCCCATTGTGTGGTCTAACTGCAGATGTTCAGATCCATTGTTCATAACAAGGATTTTGAAGTTTCACTAGCGTATGAAAGTGATGACTTCTTGCCACCTGGGACTCCTTCACTTACATTTGCTCAGTATGCAGTGTCAGGTCTTGCTGATGCCAGCGAAAAGTAAGAATCAGCAATATATGAATCAAATGGTGTATCGTGATCTGTTATTCTGAGCTTTGTGCTTTTTCTTTTAGGTATGCATCGCGGAATCTTTCTGCCCCCATCAAGGCTAATCTACATTTCTCCCTTAGTAGAAGTGGAATATTTTCATTAGATCGAGCTGATGCTGTTATTGAAATAACTGAATGGGTAGAAGTACCACGAAAGAATCTGACAGTGGACAACTCAACCTCTGCTTCAACAAATACATCAACTGAAAGTAGCCCCAGTAATACAGAGGAAAGCAGTGAAAAAGTGAATTCAGACGATGGTAACAGTAATAACTCCGATCCTAGTGCGGACGATTCTAGCACCACAAGTCTTAGCACAGAGAAGAAGCTGAAGAAACGGACTTTCCGAGTTCCACTTAAGGTTATCTGAACTTATCCATTTGCAGGGGATCTATTTTGCATCCCCTTCTTCATTAATTTCCATTGGGTGTCAGGGAAAATGTCATTTTAGAAATACCTTTATGTTTTGAAGTTCTTAACCAGTCTTATCCTTGTGACTTCTTTGTTCGTATAGATTGACGAGAAGACTGCTGGGCCAGGAGCATCTCTTTCGAAAGAGTCTTTTAATGAAGCCAAAAGCAAACTAGAAGCACTGGACAAAAAAGATGAAGAAAGAAGAAGAACTGCAGAATTGAAGAATAGCTTGGAAGGATACATATATGACACAAGAGACAAGGTTTGAGCGCTTATATTTTTAGTATCTGTAACACTTGTGGATGCTTGTGATTATCTTGACTCCTGATCCATTCAGCTCCAGGAACTTGAAGCCCTATCTATCTGTATTGTTGATTTTCCCATTTCACGTTCCAATTGCATTCGCCTGTTCTCCCTATTGATTTATATTAGTTTTTTCTCTAGCATGGTAAAGGCTTTGCAGCTAGATAAATCTTTCTGCAAGAGTTTTCTAACACATCCATGCACTAAGATCCTCCTGATACATCATTTTGTTACACTGGTCTGCTTTTGTGTCCTTAAGTGAAACTTCCATAGAGACACAGAACACAGACACGTACACATGCACTCTGTTTCTCTGTTGTGTGTTTGATGTTGTCACCTTGTTGATCATTTTTAGCTTCTCAACTTTTATTTTCTTGCAATGCACTTTTTATCAGTTGGCTTCCAGTGGCCCTCAGTCACTATCTGTTTCGTGCTAAAAAATTTATTCGTTGATCACATGAAACTGATAATAAAACACCTCTCTTTGTTATTTTTGCATGTGCTCATTTACCAGCTTGAATCTGAAGATTTTGCAAAAATTTCGACCAGTCAAGAGCGTCAATCATTTATTGAGAAACTTGATGAGGTTTGCCTACTTCCTTTATCCATGTTCGGTCATATATGTATATATTGTAAGTACTAAATGAAGTTGCTGCACATTTATCAGGTACAAGAATGGTTGTATACTGATGGTGAAGATGCTTCTGCCACCCAGTTTCAAAAACGTTTAGATGAGTTGAAAGCTATTGGTGATCCCATATTTTTTCGGTCTGCTCAAACACTGAAGAATAGTTTCTTTTAGTACTACTTTAAGTAGCTATGCTCAATGTAAATTTTTGGTGCAGACATAATGAACTTACTGCACGCCCTGCTGCATCTGATCATGCTCGAAAATACCTTAATGAAGTGCAACAGGTAGGAAATTTGATTTCTTCTTCTATTCATGTTCTTTTCTGTTTGGTTAAAGATTGTTTGGATCATGAAGTGTAGAATGTAAGCTTGAAAGAGTAAGTGCGTTATGATAGTATCTGTATCTAGTAGGACAAAAAACAGTACCTATTTATTTGTTTCCGAAAGGCAAATGGAGAAATTAGTAAAGGTTTTGAAAAATTACTAAGGTTGCACTGGCACATCAATCTGAAAGTCCGTACTGAAGTTTTTCTAGTGGGGATGTTGGAAAATAAGCTGTATACTCTGAGGAACTGTTTGAGGTGATAATAGCCATGGGTATCTTCCAGATGTGAAGTGTAGATGATGTACTGATGAAATTGATATTAACTTGCATGTGCATTTCAGCGATTTTACATTTGGTGCCGTAACTGTCGTCGTGGTATAAGTAGAAATTTCAGTTACATTGTTGATACTGACCTTACTATCCATATTGCTTTGCCATACTCTGTGATTTTTAAAGCTGTGAGCCAGCTAGGAAAGCTTTTCCATCTTTTTCTTCCTTTGACTTTTGCAATTCACCTTTTGTTTCTTTCTTGGATATTTCAGATTGTGCGCGGATGGGAAACAAACAAATCTTGGCTTCCTAAGGGAAGAATAGATGAGGTGCTCTTTTCAGCTGTTGTGTTTGGCATTTTTCTGTTGTTGATACAATAGAAGCTAGAAATCTCTTCTGTAATGTTCAACCTGGGGAAGTTAAAAAACGTCCTGTTTGCAGGTTTTAAAAGAAGCTGAGAAAGTGAAGAATTGGTTAAATCAGAAGGAGGCTGAACAGAAAGAGTAAGTTTCCTTTTTCCTGCTCATGTCTTTCAACTTTTATCTTTTTCCTATTTCCATACATAGTTTTGCCTCTCTCCCTTTTTTCCCCATACTTCTCTGCTTGTTTCCCATCCTTTCATCTCTTCTTCCTTTGTGTTGAGAGAGAGTCGCCAAAGAGGTGGCGATCGGCAGTGTTCCAAAGCGCCATAACAATGTGCGTTAGAGCGTTATGGCAGACGATCCCCATCACCTGTAGTTATGGGGATCGCCTTCGGCTTGCTTACCACCTTTTGATTTTGTCAGTGAACGTAGCATGCCTTTTTTCTGTTGTATCATCTTGTTCATTAAACTGTCGTGCCACTGAACTCCTGAAAGTGATTACTGAAATATTCTCTCTGTAAAGAATAAATCTAGTCGATCAGTGCATCAAAGCATATACTCTTTGATTCGAGCAATGCGCTCATATATTACATACACATACATGTATATATATGCGTCTTGCTAACCTACTACAACTCAATTTACATTTCCTTCATTTACCCTTCGAAAACACATTACTATCTTATTAATAGCAGGGACTTTTTTGTCTTTCCAACAAAATATCCAAGCACAAAAAAAGAACATCTCTCCTCCAAATCAACCATGCCATCTCTATTTTTTCCTCTTCACGGGCAATTCTTCCTCGCCTTCTTTTCCCCGCAATTGCTCTTGTCTATTCCTTTCTTTAGCGATCTCCTCTCCATTTCTTTCCTTTGGTAAACTCCTCCCCTTCCTCTTTTCCTCTACCCCCTCTCCTTTTTCCTTCTTTCCTAGCCTACGAAGTATCTTGTCTCCATTTCTTTTTGCGATCAAGAGGGTGTTCATATTGACTTTTAAGCTGGTCAAATCAGCTTTTAAGCTCTTCTTAGCTTTTTTTCAGTGTTTAGCAAAGTTTAAAAAGTGCTTTAAATAAGTTAAAAGCTGCTTAAAACAAATCCAAAAGCAATAAGCTGGAAAACCCCAACTTATTGCTTTTTGGCTTAAAAGCCTCTTTTTTTAAGCCAATCCAAACGGGCTCCAAGTCATCCTCCTTTTTCTCCTTTTTTCCCTTTTCTTCTATGTCTGTTAATCAAAAGAAAAACTGAAAGAGTGAAGCATAAGGATAAGCTAAGAAGAAGAGGGTGCAAGTCCCATACAAATACCTTCCAAGAGAGCAAACCTCTTTGGAAAAAAGTTGATCCTCTGAAATGCTTCTCAGCATTTTTGCTACTTTTTAACATTTTCACAAGCTGTACCACATCACTTTTGTAGAACAAGGGAAAAGAAGGAAAGATAAAAGTGATGTGGTATAGCAAGTGAAAAACGTCTTTTTATTTTTATTCAATACTAGCCCACTACAGCCAGTGAAAAATTTCTTCATAGTGCTAACCTACTACAGAGTCTGTAGTAGGTTACTAGGTTACATTTCTTATTTGGTTTTGTATTTCATTCAACCAAATTAAGAGGGAAAAAGGTGGAACTCCTAATCTTTCATATTGCCCTTATTCAATAGGGGATCGGAGGAGGATTGTACTGGTAGACTTGAAAAGAGAAGAAAATGGGTGCTATAAGAATGTTTGTCCTCAGGGCTCTGGTTCAGTAACAAGGATGCATCACGTGATGTGTGGTTAGCATTTGATAGGCTCTAACCCTGCCATGTACTAAGTTAGGTTGGATAGAGGGTTAGAGCAGCGAGCCCATACACCCCGGAGCTCTGAACCTTTTCACCGACTGGAATTGGGCCAAAAGCCCACATGGGACATCTTCAATATTAAAAAAGAAAAAGCAAAAGGAAAAAGAACGAAAAAAGGATAGCACAAAAACTGATTCTCTGTATTCCCTGAATTTTCATATGTGCTTCAAGTCAGTTCTTGAGTTTGACAGCAAAAAGTTAAACAAAATAATTTGGTTCTAAAGTGGGTAAGCCTAAGTTATATTTCTGGTGGAAGAATATATAAAATATCCTTGGGCTGAGCTGGTTCTCCATAAATTGTGACCCATGTATCTCAGTGGTCCCACTTGCCAGTTTGAGGAAGTCACAACTCTCTATACTTGCCTTCTAAAAGAAACAACTCTCTATAAACATAGTTCTGAGAAATTTTTATCTTATTGTTCCTAATCTTTTTATCCCTTTTCTCATACTTTGTGTGTTTAATGCCTTTTTAATTTTTCCTACAGCACTCCTGGATTCAACAAGCCTGCATTTACTTCTGAAGAAGTATATGAAAAGGTTCTCGATCTGCAAGACAAGGTACTTGATCTAAATCATCGTTAATCTGCTCTAGTGATAGAGCTGACCAAGCATTAGGTAGTCAACTTCTTCACCATATGAAGCTTTCACCGTTTGATTCTGCCTTTCTCTTCTTTGTGGATCAGGTTACCAAGGTAAATAGAATACCGAAACCGAAACCAAAGATTGAGAAGCCTGTGAAAAATGAAACTGAAAGCAGCGGGGAGAAAGCAGATGCTACCAACTCCTCTTCCGAGGAGGGTACCTCCCAGAAAGAACAAACAGCCTCAGATGCAGAGAAGCCATCCACCGATGGAAAAGTCGATGCCCAGTCTAAAGATCATGAATCAGACCATGATGAGTTATGATTATTACCTACCAAAGGCTAGATATCTGCAAATTACAAAGAGGAAGAGATAGCAACTTGAGTTGTAGAGTATACACCGAGTCAAACCCATCTTTTTCATGGAATGCTTTTTCTTGCCATGCTTTGGGAGTCCTCGGTCTCCAGGCAAATATGGGTTCAAATAGTACATGCTAAGAGATCTTACACTTAATCCACCGGTAGCTGCAACACAATATTAATGTAGAACAGTGGGAACATTATTCATGCGCCGTTTTGGCTGCAGAATGGAATTTTGTTAGCTCTCCCCTCCTATGAACTCTTTCTTACAATGGATGCGTATTTAATATATAGAGTATATAAATTTTGAAATACTTGTATCGTTAAGTTATGCCACTATTGTCTGGGTGTGCTAAGTTGCCCTTCTGTTCGCAAAGTCATATACCTTGCTTTCCACCTTTTAATGGGTCAGCCATTTTTGAAAACAAGGGGTAGGGAACTGATGTGAATCTTAAAAAAACATAACCCACAAACACATTTCAGAATTTTGATTTAGGATCCAGGTCTCACTACTTATCAATTAGATGATAATAGGTGATGTATTGTGCAATCATTATATAACAGATAGTCAAGTCAAATTTTTTCTTGGACGTGGAAGTTTAGCTCGTTATATATCGGGCCGTCATTATGTACAAATATTACTCTCTCCGTCTCATTTTGCGTGTCTTAGTTTGATTAGACACGGAGTTTAATTGAATCTTGTGATTTTGAACAAAAGATGTGTGTAATGTACTCAAATGCACATGAATCTTGTGGTTTTAATTATGCCACATGGAATGATGAAGTTAAAGAATTATTAAATATCAAAAGAGACATTTTTTTAAATAGACCCAAAATAAAAAAGTAAGACACTTAAATTGAAAGAGAGGGAGTATCATTTATGCTTTCGTCATATATCTAAACAAATGGAATTTCCTTAATGTGGCTTGATTTATGATTTTCACTCTAAGTTTTTTTTTTCAAGTGAAGAATAGTTGTTTTACTCATGGCATTGCTTTGTTTTTCTCTTCCCTATCCTATCAGCGATTTTCAATCTTTTTGTTCGAAATTTCTTCGTTTGTACTAAAGTGCTTGCAGAATCAATCATGGTCCTCACTGAAATTAAAGACCCAATCATTTCAAACTAATATTTCGGAATCCACTAGGTCCAGTGTTTGTTAGGAGTCCATGTAGTTTGGGGTGGCCGGGTGGGTGGGGTAGGATATGGGACGGGTCGAAAGCAAGTAATGAAAAACGGATAAATTATCCGATCCGACTCATATTTAATACGGATAAAAAACGGGTTAACCGGCGGATAATATGGGTAACCATATTATCCATGACATCTTGAATATGATCACTTTTGGAAAAATTCCTAGTCTCGCAAACTTGAGGAACCCCAGTTTGAAGCTTTACAACGGTAAAAGTTAAACCCATTAGTTATCTATTGGTTATCCATTTTCTAAATGGATTATACGGTTCTTATTCCTATTTGACCCGTTTTTAAAAAGTTCATTATCCAACTCATTTTTCAGTGGATAGTATGGATGATTAACTGTTTTCTTTTCACCATTTTGCCACCACTAATTTGAGGCATGTCAGTTTAAAGAATCCATTTTGCCTTAGAAAACTTAACTATCTAATATTGGAATAAACTTAGTCCGACTAGAGTTAAATGTATACAAATAAAGATTGAGGAGAGTTGATTGATTGATAAATACTTTGACAAGATGAATCATGAAAGATTAAATGAAGCAGCACAAAATTTATTGATCTTAGAATTACAAAACAAAACTAAGATGCTATAGAATCAGCTGTGGATATTTCCATTTTTCCAGCTATCTTCTTGTCACTTTATATCTCATGTATACACTATGTAATCCAAATCACTTGGGTTTTAACATTACCTATTGATAAACAAAGAATATGTAAAGGCTGATATACATGTAGTAAAATGTAAAGCTATAACAAAATGGGACTGATATCTGATATCGATAAGAATCTGAATTGCAAAAGCTAATACTGTGTCGTCGAGGCATTATGGTTCTCTGCGGAACCTGGTTAGCAAAACTGAGTTACTTTAGTTGTAACCATTTCTGTGTACCTTTTGCCATCTCCATGCTATGGCTAAACTCTCCTCAAGTGAATATCTTGCTATCCAGTTTAGTTCGCGCCTAATTTTAGAAGGATCGCTGTAGACTTCAGCGTAGTCTCCTGGACGTCTACTGAGGTAATCAATCTTTATGTCCACTCCTGTTGCCCTTTTACAAGCTTCCACAAATTGTTTCACTGAACTACCTGTAACGACAAGGACTTGACCATCAAAATGACTTCTGGTGAACCAATACGCAGAGGCGGATCAAGGATTTAACTTTAATGTGTTCAAACTTGCACTGAATTCATTGTACGGTTAAAATTATGGGTTCAGATCTAACATTTATTGAGATTTTAGTAGGTTTTTACATCTATATCTATACTCCGTGTTGAAAGTTATAGGTTCAGATGAACTCATAGCCTTTAGGCTACATCTGCTTCTGCCAATATGAATATATAAGTTTGCAACGAACCAAATGATCAAAATTAATTTATAAGTAGTAGGAAGTAACCTTTTCCAGTCCCGACATTGTAGATGCCAACTTTGCTAGGTTTTGCATGCTCGAGAGCTTTAACATGAGCGTCAATTAGGTCAGTCACATCGATATAGTCTCTTACACAAGTGCCATCAGGTGTGTTGTAATCTACTCCTCTTATCTGTAATTACCAGATAGGATAAAGATTTAAGTTTTACATGCTGTTTAGACATAAACAAGCAAGCCTGTTTTGGAAAAGGAGACAACGAGATAACTAAGAAAACAGAACAATCATGTTATAATACTAATAACATGGGAAAATGCAAAAAAAGAAAGTGCAACGTTCAGTAATGCACTTATTAAAGTTACCTTCAATCCTGGAATTATACCCCTGGCTGCATCAAAACAAGCACCAGATATCCGACCTTGCTCACGTAATTCTGGTCGTGGAGCTTCTCCTAACCTTCCTTCAGGGTCCGAGCCAATCACATTGAAGTACCTGATTAGTGCATTGAAGACCATCAGATACTTGCTTTGAGAAATGTTTATGTACGAAACGTTACACTTGCACCGACTTCAGATTCTTATCGACAACTTTATCAAGCTTCAAGGAGTTGGAAAAAAAGAGTCTTTTCCAGGTTGGTGATGAAAAAGACCTAGGATCACTCAAAAACTAATATGGGTGCATATTTATAACAGGTTTTCCTAGGAGCAAATACTGTGCAAATACTACTATTCATCACATAAATGTATTTAGCATTATTATGCAAGGTGGCTTGAATATTGTTCGAGTTGGTGAAGTAAACGATTCCTATATTGATAATGCACTTAATTCAATCGCAGAAAGGCGCTTCCTTAATAAGGATCATCTTACCATCCCTTTTCAAGATCTTGAATCGTAAAACACGAACCTTAATATCATGATAGCCATATCTGAAGTCTTTGAGTAGTCCAGTATGATATCTTCAGCCATTTTCTTTGCTTTTCCATATGGATTTATTGGGGCCTGTTTGTATTCACAGTTACATCAGTTAGTTTGGAAACATTGGAATCAGTACTGATATTTACAATAACAAACAAATATTCCAGACATTGGCAAACGTGAAAACGCCTAATGGAGCAAACTCGTTCTGGTTTGACAGGACGGTGTTTTTCTTATTGACATATGACTTTAGAGATGAAACCATCAGTAAGACTAAAAAGTTTCTAATGAAGTGGAAATTGGTTACTGACTTGTGGCGTCTCTTCTGTAATAGGCATTTTCTCAGGCTCTCCATATGTTGCACAGGTACTTGAATAGATTAGCGTCTTTACACCATGGGCCGCCATTGCCTTAACTAGAAGCAGAGTGTTTGATGTGATGTTATGATAATACCTGCACAGTACAAGAGATTACAAGACAGATAAAAAAAAGGAGAAAAACAAAAGAAAAATAGTTTATTTTCTGTCTCAGTTGTCCAACAACAACAACACAGTGGATTCCCACAAGTGGTGTCTGGGGAGGGCAGGATGTACGCAGCCTTACCCCTACCCTGGGAGGGGAGGGCAGAGAAGTTGTTTCCGATATAATTTCTTTATCAAAAAGTTAACATTCTCAGGTACCTAAGCGGTTCTTGAGTACTTTCACCAACATATGCAACAGCTGCAAAATGCATCACAGCATCAAATGCATTTTGTGAGAAAATCTTGTTAACCTGAGGTTGTTGGTTAAGGATAAAAAATCGTGACAATATTTGAAGCTGTAACAAAGATGTTACTATATAGAGAACTGAAAGTGAAGATAACTCGTGAAGCTAAAGCATGAACGAAAAGAAATTATCCAGGATACAGCAGCACCATCTCCCAAATCAGCATAAATAAACTGAAGTCGCCCTGGCTCGGGAAATAGTTCCTGGAGAGCTTTAACAGCACCCATATTTCCACGCGAAAGGTTGTCCTGTCAGAAAAATCTCATAATTATGACATACACGAAAACTTGATTCATTAAGTTACTTTGAAACGAAGAGGGACATACCACAATAGTTACACGATATGAATCTTTTAGGAGTCTAAGGACAGCATGAGAACCTATGTAGCCAGCACCTCCAGTCACTAATACATGAGTTACACCAGGTTCGTGTTGAGAAAACTGAAAATTAAAAATTTTGATTGCCGATTACCAACAGATTCTTATAACATACATTGTAAGTCTGGACTGTAAATACGTACGACATATGATCTAATTATGAGTCAGACAATCACCTTGACGGAGGTACTAAAACCGGATGAATTTCTGAATATAAGAAAACAAATTGCAGCAATGCCAGCAAGCAAGAGCAGTTTCCTGGAAGTGCTGCTCCTTCTCTTTAACTCCACAAAATCCATGCCTGAAAGTTAATGTGAAAATATATTTAGCTCTTTTCAAAGTATATTCTCCTTAAATTTTTTAGTTATTAGTATATCAATTCATTTCTCCCATGAACATTTAACTTCTTCCACATCTTACCATGTAACAATTCAACATACTTAACACCAGAGGCGGACCTATCTATAACGTTGAGGGGTCACCAGTCCCCGTCAACTTCGACAAAAATCTTGTATATGTATATGCGCATACAGTGGAAATGGCTAATTTAAATAACTTGGCACCCTGAACGCTAAAAGCCTTTAGGGGCAGTGGTTAAGCAGAAAATTGGTGCCCATTTGCGTTAAAATCTTGGTCCGCCTCTGCTCAACACTGATGGCAACTTAATAATTTATAACAACATTATCCTTCAGCTACTGAA